CTGTAGGAATCTCAAAGCAGTTTAAAAATAAAGCATGTCACTAAAATATTAACAGTGATAGTGGATTTGGGTGATTTTACACCTTTTTGCTTAAATATATTTTCTATAACCTAATTTTTGTAAAGTGAATATGGATTACTTGTATAATTTTTCTTTTTTTTTTTTTGTGAGAAAGTAGGATTTATTAAGAAGACAGAAAAGCTTCCATAGTGGGAGGGGACCTGAAAGAGGATGCCCATGTGTATAATTTTTTTAACAAGTTTTTTAAAGCATGACATAATCATTATTAGCATTAATATATATTAAATGTACACTAAAACTACTAGATAAGTCTGTTCCTGTTCTATTTGAAGAGTTAAACAAAAAAATTCAAGGTAGAGTAAGCTTTATGGTTAATAATAAAAATAACAAGCTGGGCTAGGTGGCACAGCCTGTAATCTCGTGCCTTTGGGAGGCTGAGGTGAGTGGATTGCCTGAGCCCGCGGGTTCAAGACCCGCCTGGGCAGCGAGACCTCATCTCTACAATAAATCAAAAAATCAGCCAGGTGTGGTAGCGCATGCCTGTAATTCTGGCTAATTGGAAGGCTGAAGCAGAAGGATCGCCGAAGCCCAGCAGGTCGAGGCTGCGGTGGCCAGGAGCGGCCACTGTACTCCAGTCTGGGCAACAGAGTGAGACTCCAACTCAAATAAATAAATAAATAATAATAATAAAAACAATAATAGCTATTATTTACTTAGTATCTAGTGCAGGCAAACCTTCATATATATTACCTAATCTTCAGTAAATTTCTATTTTACAGATGAAGAAACTGAGGCTTGGAATAAATAATAAAACTTAGCTAGCAAAACAGCTGGTAAAGATTGGAGCCCAGATTCAAACCTGCCTATACTATTCTAGGATCTATGCTCTTTCCGCTGTACCACGCAGCCTCTCCAAATGCCAAAAAATCTGTCTTCTGTTATTAAACACACTGAAGAGATCTTTATAAAATAAAGGTATTCTTCCCTGACTTCTTCAACAAAAAAATACTAAGCATAATATTACTTACATTCATTCGGTCAGGGTTATCAGTTTGAACATCCATTAATACAGAGCTGTCTCTTCATTTGATAAAAAGGACTCTGATTGCTACAAGTTTAAAATTAGCTAGTTTGCTTTATGACTTTTTTCTTTTCCTTCCTTGTCAATGTGCCTGCCTCTAATAGGAGTGCTTGGCCTATTCACAATTTGTTACTTCTAATATGCTGTGGAGTTTGATACCAGTTAATTAAGCTGGTCGGAACTGTGTTTAAAATAAAAGTAAGAAAACTGAGTAAGGGCCTGCGAAAAACACACAGATTTTGTGTCTTATAATTTGGGTGTTCAGGTAATTTTTAAATGTATGTCCTGATTATGTAAATTGAGGCAACCAGTGGATAAGTTGGCTATAGTATTTAAATACAGGAATAATAGACGTAACCTATAATAGATGTAAACTCATCTACAATAAAACACTTTATTACACTACAACATCTTTTTTAGGATTTGAAATAGGCCTTCAAAACAATCTAGTACGCTATCCCATACAATGCAAAATTCCCTCTACAATGTTCTGATGTTCAACCTCTGCTTAAGCAACCCTAATGACCAGAAAGAAGTTCACTGCCTCGTGACACAATCTGCTTCACTGCTGACTAGTTCTATACTTCCTCCCATTTAGAATTAGTTTTGGCCTCAAATAATTGAGAATGAGTGTATTTCCTATTGAGTTTATCCAACTGTTCCAAAGCATTCCATTTTGTATTGTTTTTAACAAAATAGTCCTAATCCCCTCAATCTAATCATGACAATTGTCCTTTTATATAATCACAAAAATGATTAAAAATGGTTCTCTTGATCTTCAAGGTATACTTAGTAATGAAATCCTATATTAATACTTTGTAGGTTAATGGGGTCTGTTTAATCTTAGTCATACACAACTGGGATGCTAGGAAAGGCTTATGGATTTAGCTCAATTCAAATTGAACAGTAATATATTTTTGAGTTCTCTCTTCTTTTTTCTCCTACCCAAAACAATACCACAAAGTAGAATCTTAAAAGCTACCCTTAGCCATAATTGTTTATGCTGCAAGATTTTAATTTTCTCACTAAGGTTTTTATCTTTCTTCCTGTCATTTGGACCCTGTGAATAATCATAAAACTTCCAAAATTCTACAAGCTACACTCAAAATCACGAATTAGCCCATGACAGGCCCAGCTCTATGGCCTTAAAGTGCTGACTTTTTTTCCTCATTGCACTAACTGAATAAATGGATTACTTTCTATCTAGTTTTCAAAAAATAATATTTATAATGTATTATACATCTATGCACACACATACACACACATACAAGTATCTTCCTCAATTCTATGTTCTCTACATGTAACTTTTATATTCATGTTTATCTCCTTTGTTTCCATATATCACCTTTACTATATTCTAGCATCTTGAAGCAGGAAAACAACCTACCCTGCTATTCATTCTCTTAGCAGGAGTAAGGAATCTCACTATAGGCACCTCATCCAATGATTTCTCTTTCGTGATATGGTGATTAATCTCCAGGATTTTAAGAGGCAAAGCATTATTTAACAGAGATGATTGTATGCAAAATACTCTACCAAAGTATGGTACAAAATGCCTGATATACCATAACCTGTTCTATTCCATTCATCATGACCAAGCCTCTGGATTAGCAGCCTTCATTATGATTTTAGTAAGACACACAATCAGTGATATCATATAGGTATGTATCTTACATTGTCTATTCTCAAGCATGTTTCAAATAAAATCCCTTTATTAATAAAATAATTATTATATCTTTTTTTGTATAATTCATTTTACTCACTTATTACTATTATTCTAAATGTCTCACAGTAACTGTATAGGAAGACAAAAAATGGTTAGAGAGGTGAGACACCAGAACTTTTCACTGAACCCCAAGGCAGATAATCAGCCAATTTAAAGTAATACAAAATGAGATCATTCATACATCTTTTTCTAAATTATCTTTCTAGTTTACTGATTTTACTAACAGAGAACAAGCCATTCTTCAAAATGCCTTAAGCCAGTTCTAAACATAAAGAACAAAGTAAAACAATAATTGTAAGACTTGTTTAAAGGGTATAGAGTTCCTAAGTAACAAGTCAAATAAAACATAGTTCATTCCATTCATTAATGCTGAGCTCAGAACCATGCGAATGTGATACAAACCTAGCATAAAAACACAGGTAAAAGCCATCATATCACCTGGCCAGGTCAGCAACATGCTATGTACTGTACATGAGTACTGAATTCAGCAGCACTAAGCACTTAGTATTCATAAGTTCTTATTAATAGTAAAAATCTGATGTCAAAGTTTAAAAGCTAGTACAATATCATAAACCTCCGTGCAGCCCTGGAAAAAAAAAAACTCACTTGTATAAGCCCACTCCCGCTACTGGTGCAAATAATTACAAAAACAGAAAATCATAAGAAGCAGTATAATAGGCTCATTCATAATTATTAAATCACCTTTAAAGCCTTGCTGTTTGTTTCTTAGCATTATGAAAATCAAAACATGCTCTTGGCTGGGCATGGTGGCTCACACCTGTAATTCCAGCACTTTAGGAGGCTGAGGCAGGAGGATCACTTGAGGCCAGGAGTTCGAGACCAGCAAGACCTCGTTTCTACAAAAAATAGAAGAATTAGCCAAGTGTGGTGGCGCATGCCTGTAGTCCCAGCTACTCAAGAAGCTGATACAGGAGAATTGCTTAAGTCCAGGACTTTGATGAGCCATGATCATGCTACTTTACTCCAGCATGGAAGTCAGAGTGAAAGTCTGTCTCAAAACCCCCTTCCCCCAAAAAAGAGTATACAGAAAAAATGTGAGTCTTGTACCTCTGTCAATAATTCCTTACATAACTTTGAAAAAATTTTGCATGTATGTATGTAAACATATGTTTTTGAAAAAAAGCAAATGAAACATACTATACATAGAGCTCTATATTGTCTTTCTCTGTTAACAATGTGTATTAGGAACTTTGCCATATCTGCATCTGTAGATCTACTTCATTTCTTCTAACAGTTGCAAAATATTACATTGTAAAAAGGTACTTATTTAACTAGAACTCTGTTGAGGCATATTTAAGCTACTGTAGTTTTAAAAAAATAATTGAACCAATATGTGACAAATATATTTGCATGCAACTTTTTGTGTGCAAGCTCAACTATATCTAAAGCATGGATTCCTAGAAGTACTGCCTGCTGTCAGAATTAAACAAATTCTGAACAAGAAGCCAGCAGTGTCTCTACAAAGGAGACTAGGAAAAACTACAAGTTAAATGTTTAGTCATCAAAAGGTGTTAAATACTATCATAAAGTTAGAAGTTAAGGTTTTGAAAATTAACAAACTGATGAATTAGCAAAGGTAAAATAGGAAAAAGAGAAACTTTATCCCCTGAGATAGAAAGATAAAGGGCCTGGAGAATAAACTATCGAACAGATTTTTAAAAGAAAGATAAAAGAAAAAAAAGAAAATAGCATAAATAAGGCAGAGTTAAGAAAAAATAGATGTTTTGGTCTCTTTTCTTGCTTAAATATAAGGCGCACACAAAAAATTGACCAGTATATTTGGGACATATACTACTACGCAGCCAAACTTGGATGCAAGATGATTTAAATGACTATTGAGGCCTCATTTCTACAGGTGATCTGTAGATTGAAACAAATCAGTGCTGAGTCTCTCCAAAAAAAGAAAAGCAGAGCAGCAACCTTCCAGAAACAAGATAAATACAGCGCTTGTCAATCTTCTAAATTCCTGACCAACCTGACAGGAAAATAGTAACAATTGCCTCATATCCTACAATACAAACCTCTTTTTGGAAGGTCCTGATTAAAACATAAAAAGATTCAGATTTTTAATTATAATCCTACAGTTTCCTGGGCAAATCTAGGGCTTAGTTCTAATACCTCACCTAACATAAAACACATTCAACAACTTACCTCTCCCAAAGTGCTAGGATTTGAATGCCACAATACATATCGATTCATGTTTTTGTCCATTAATGGTCCATAGATTTCTTTAAATGAAGTCCATTTTAGAGTCCATAGATATCAGTGTTCTGCAAAACTGAAAACCTCAAGAATGTCAATGCACATACCTAAGTTACCACTTGGATACCAATTAATCAATTATAAATAACAGTATAGATATTAAGATGTGCAAAATTTAGTGGACATGACATTGAACAGAAGACTGAGGTAGCACAATCAGACTTTAAGACAATAATATTAACATAAATCTAGAGGATCTCAAAATATTGCTCTGTACCATATTTATATATATTCTAAAGGTGACACCACAGTAAGAGCATACAAATATAGGGATGCCTTGGACACCAACACTTATCAGAAATTGGGAAAACAAGATTTAAGCATAAGCAAACTTTAAAAATTTGAATAGTGCAATAATGTATTTACAGGTTAACTTTTTGAAGTTTTTAACCTATTTTAAGAACATCTTAGATATTACATCTTAAAAATGCTTAGTTTTTTCTTTGTTAAAAAAAAATTACACATGGCACAACACAGCAATATGACATAAATGCAGAGTTTCCTAGCCCACTATACCCAAATCTAATGATAAGAATCTGGAACCTCTCAAGAGCTGCTACGTCATTAGCTAGCCCATATACACAACCACCTCGCTGGACTGGGCAGTGATTCACGCCTAGATCTCATTACACAGCCTGATGACAGTCTAATCTGCACTTTTTTTCCATTTGACAACCAAAACCTATTTAGTTACAGTAGTTTGGTTTTTAGGTCACTGCTTGCTCCTTATCACATTTAAGACGCCTAAACACATACTTTTTACAAAGGAAGCAATGCAATCGTCAAAAATTCATTTTTGGGAGGGGCGCCTATAACTGTTTGGAAGGAGTTAACTTTATATGAAAACACCAAGTGTAATCTGACTGGATTTTTATAAATTACTATTTTCATTTTTATTCTAAATCTAATTTACATCTCAAGTGTGAGTAGCACATTTACTTAAAATCTAAGAAAGACATTTAAAAAAGGAAAGTAAGTTTATACTGCTGAAAAGAAAGCACTCAGAATACTCAGTGTCTACTGCAGCTTATCATTTGCGGACCAACTCCTCTCTAGTATCCCTTCCCTGGAAGTTCGTCCCAGAAAAGTAAAAGAACCTGAAAGACGCCAAACTCATCATCCTATCTTTTCTATCTAGAGTAAAATATTAAGACACATTTCTAAGTTTCAATAAGCACCAAAACAAAGCAACAGCATCCTCATAAACCACCGATTGGCAAACTAAACAGGAGGCACTTCTATATTCAGAGGTTGGGATACTGAGATTTGGAAGAAGTTCTCCCGCCGAGTCAGAACCAGGTTATTTCATTTATTAATGAATTCATTCCTTCGACAACATCTAAAGAACGCCTAGTAGGGGCAAGGCACTGTCCTACGGATTAAGAGACAAAATGTTGAGGTACCCGTGCCGTTAGCAGAACGGACTGGGGTAGGTGGGAAATAAACGCTAGGTCACTCATCTCAGTGCTCCAGGCTGCGTCTTCCCGACACGAGCGCCAAAGATGTTAGCCCACGACCCCAGCCGGAACCGATTCCCAGAAGACTCAGCCAGCGTTCCTTCGACCCTCTTGGCCCTCACGACCGGTTCCCAAGAGTTGCCGGTATCCCTATCTCCTCGGAGAGTCTCATGCCAGGGACCCTTTCCTCCAGCCACCACCTAATGCGAAAGAGCCTCCTCTGTCCTCCTGCGCATAGGTCATAGAGAGACCTGGGCCTTCAAGCCCAGCTTCCACCCCGGACTCCGTTCAGATCCGGCCCGCAGGTTACCTGCAGGAGATCCAAGGCTCCCGGCGAACCACAGGCTCCCCGCCTCGCCCCGCCCCGCCCATCGCGACACCCCCCACAACTAGGTACCGCCTTCATGGCGTAACTTCCGGTGCGTCACGTTCGGCCGGAATTTCACGGACCCGGCGGTCTAACTCAGGGCCCGGCTCGGCTGGGTGACGTCACTTCCTGACTTTTTCTCGATCCGTCACTGGTTCTTTCTCTGCGCTTTTCACCTCCGGCTTGTCGGGTTTATTTCGTCTGCTTGCGTAACCCAGCCCGGAGAAGTGCTTTCCTCCCCCAAACTTCTTTTTGCAGCTACTTCCCTCTGCTCCTTCTGTACCTTGGACCCAACAAATCACAAGATTGTCCTTGGGATTTTTCTTTATTTGCCCAGTGGAGTGCTTGGGAGTGAGGTCTCTGAAATTGCGATGTCTGGTTTCAGATGCTACTCACTTCTAACCCAGGCACGTTACTTAACCTCGCTGTACCTGGTTCAAACTTGGAACGGTTGTGTTATTACTGAGATAATACGTGGAAAGCACCGCTACATTGAAAGCACTCAATGAGTGTTAACTATTACTTTTTGCTGCACTCTTTTGCCCTGTTGGAACATGTAAGTGCTAAGGAAGGTTGGAGCCAGTTTTCCTGTTATCTTTTGTATCCCCAGTTTTTAAATAAGTGATTAGCTGATTTTGCCTGGTACCTTCTTAGTAACTGTTGGCTCTCTAAATTTGGAATCTTACATAGAAACCAACATTAACCCTACTTGAGCTCACCTGCTTAGTTATTGTTCTAGGTAATGAGGGACAGATGAATAAAACCCAGGCTCTGCACTCAAGAACATGAAAATATTCAATAAATGACTATTGGAGGAAGGAAGTCAACCTAGGAAAAAACAGAAGGGATCAGCTGAGCTGGGAATTTTATGCTTAGGACAAAAAATACGCAGAATGATAGAACTGAAAGGAATTTTAGAGGCAATTATTTAGTCAACATCTTGCTGCTACATACAGGTAAGGAAAATTTGATCTAGAAAAGTGACCTCAAGTCAGAATTCGTGGCAGTGCTCAAAATGCTCATCACCTCTCCCCATTCCCAAAACCTGCCTCAAAGTGTTAGTAAAGTAAGACTAACTCTTAAGACCTTTACTTTCAAGTGAAAAGGACTAGGAAAATTCCAGTTCAGGAGAGACAAGAGCAATGTAATCTAAATGCCACACAACTTGCATGCTTTGGTGTAGTGGCTACTGCTGGGTTCATTTCAAACACAGTGTTCCCTTTCCCCTGGAAAACTTATGTTTACCCGTAAATGAGGGATAAACTATCAGCCACTGTGAGCTCTATCTTCAATTTTAACTGGCTGGACAAGAATAAGTAACAGACCCAAGAAGCTTCAGAATAGAGTCTGTGAATATACTGCCAATGATGTCCATGATTTCATTTAGTTTTCTCTAGTTGGAGATAATTTCTCCTAATTATTCAATCTTTGATTAGGAATATGACAAAGCCAGCATAGGTATTATTATTGTTGAAATGCTGGTAATGGGCCTGTGGTCTGTATTCCAAATAGCATAGACCTTTAAAAAAAAAAATTAAAGATGTGGGGTACAATTCAGGGTTAGGTATACAAATGTTCATTATGCAGGTACCCTTGTTGATGAGGTGTGCCCCTATCTTCCCCAGGCAGATTCCCACTACTGCCAATCCCGCTTCTCCGCCCCGCTCCTGGCAGTTTCCTGCTACTGCCAAACCTTTTCTTATAGTATTATGATAATTGTTCAAGGTCCGCTTATGAGTGAGAACATGTGGTACTCAGTTCTTTGTTAACATGGACCTCTTAATAGAAAAATAATTCAATGTTAATGTTTTCATAAGCCCATCTAGTTCCCTCGTTCAACCAATGACACTTCTCCTCCTTTGCTACTAATATACTATAACTTGATAAAAATAGATTAAAAATATGGAGATGTTTAATCAAATTTTAAGTCATTTGGACCACATTTTTTTTAAAGGGGATCACAATTTACACAGGTTTTAAAGTCACCTTGTTTGGGTTCTATGCCTACTAGCTCTTCTATTAACTAGCCACCTTAGAACACTTTACCTCTCTGTCCTCAATTTCCTCTTTAAGGTTTTTCCCTGAAACTAGCCTTGTATTGTTCTGTCTAGCAGGAAAAAAAAAAGTTCATATACTTACCACTGTGACCACTAGATGGCAAGTGGTAAGGGACTCCTTTCCTTCCCTCACTCCCTCCCTTCCTTCCTTTCTTTCTTATTAGTTAATTTGATCAAAGGCATCATTGTATAATACCACTTATTTGAACAACTGCCTACACTAGTGACAATGGAGTATCTCAAGGCTTTAGGAGAGGATAGGTCTAAAATGTTTGTTGAATGAGTGAAAGAATGAATGGATTCCAGTATTAGTTCTAGGCCTTCTATCCCCTACTACTGCCACTCCTGTTTCTTTTTGTATTAAAATACTTCCTCCTTTTTTCAAAAAAAAAAATTGTTACTATAGGAATGTGGGGTACAAGTGAGGATTAACTACATAAGTAAGATACCTGCAGGTGAAGTTTGAGCTTCTAACTGGCCCTCACTCCCCCTGGTAATGAACCAAGTACCCTTTGTGTTATCATAAGCCCCTCAACCCTCCTCTCTCCCTCCCCTAGCAGTGCCCAGTGACTACTAATGCAAACACTTCCTTTAAAGCTTTGGGGATAGGAAGAGAAATAAAAGGTAAGACAGTATAAAAAGGAGTTGGACTAAGAATGAGAAAAATAAGTGTGTTGCATATCAAAGCAAACAAATGTACTATAATATTTATGGATGGAATAATATAATGTCTAGAACTTCTTTTTAAAATAATATGGGAGGTATCAGATACTAAGTATTGATAATATATTGATATTGTTTTATTATATCCTTCTCTCCACTTTTTGTATATGCTGGAAATTTGCTTTATACAGTTAAAAATAAGAGCAACTATGAGTGCATTTCCCTTCCTCTAGATAAGACTGAATTCAAAGTATCCCACTGAATGTCCAGACGCTTATACTCAATGTCACAGAAAACTTGTCACAGATTGGGTTTTCCAGAAGAAGACAATTATATGGAGATGGGAAGAAGATTTTTATTAAGAATGACGAGAAGCCGGGCTTGGTGGCTCAGCCTGTAATCCCGCGCCTTTGGAAGGCTGAGGTGAGTGGATTGCCTGAGCCCGCGGGTTCGAGACCCGCCTGGGCAGCGAGACCTCATCTCTACAATAAATCTGTCTACTTTGTAAAAGATCATTTGAATTGTAGGTATCTCTGGATTCTCTATTCTCCTTTGGGCCATGTGTCTGGTCTTGTACCAGTATCATGCTGTTTCGGTTACTACAGCCTTGTAGTATAACTTGAAATCGGGTAATGCGATTCCTCTAGCTTTGTTCTTTTTGCTTAGAGTTGCTTTGGCTATTCTGGCTCTTCTTTGTTCCCATATGAATTTTAGGATTATTTTTTCCTAATTCTGTGAAAAATGATTGGTAGTTTGATAGGGATTGTGTTGACTCTGTAGATTACTTTGGGCAATATGGTCCTTAAATGATATTGATTCTTCCAATCCATAAGCATGGAATGTTTCTCCATTTTTTTGTGTGTCCTCTATGTTTCTTTCATCAGTGTTTTGTAGTTCTCCTTATAGAGATCTTTCACCTCCTTAGTTAAATATATTCCTAGGTATTTTATCTTTTTGACTGCTTTTGTAAATGGAATTGAGTTCTTAACTTGATTCTCAGTTTGGTCGCTATTGGTGTATAGCAGTGCTACTAATTTGTTTATGTTGGTTTTGTATCCTAAAACTTCACAATTTTTCAAGCCTAGATCTCTAGGTATAAGATCATATTGTTGACATACAGAGATAGTTTTTTTTTTTTTTTTCCCAATTTGGATACCTTTTATTTCCTTTTCATGCCAGATTGCTCTGGCTAGAACTTCCAATATTATGTTAAATAGGAGTGGTGAAAATGGGCGTTCTTGCCTTGTTCCAGTTCTGAGGGGGAATGTGTTCAACTTTTCTCCGTTCAAGATGGCATTAGCTATGAGTTTGTTGTATATGGCTTTTATTATTTTGAAGAATGTTCCCTGTGTGTCTATTTTACTGAAGGTTTTTATCATGAAGAGATGCTGAATTTTGTCAAATGCTTTTTTGAATCTATTGAAATGGTCATAAGATTTTTGTTTTTAATTCTGTTAATGGAATGGATCATGTTTGTTGACTTGCATTTGTTGAACCACCCTTGCGTCCCTAGGGTAAAACTCAATTGATCGTGGTGGATTATTTTTTTATGTGCTGTTGAATTTGATTTGTTAATATTTTGTTGAGAATTTTTGCATCTATGTTCATAAGGGATACTGGTCTGTAGTTTTTGTTGTTGTTGTTGTTGTGTCTTTTCCTGGTTTTTGTATCATGTTCATGTTGGCTTCATAAAATGAGTTAGAGAGAATTCTCTCCTCTTCAACCTTACAGAATATCTTCAGTAAAATTGATACCAATTCTTTGAAAGTCTGATAGAATTAGGCTATGAATCCATCAAGTCCTGGATTTTTTTGTTAGTTTTGGGAGACTTCTAATTACTGTTTCAGTTTTGCTACTCATTATTGATCTGTCCAAGGTTTCTATTTCATTCTGATTAAATATTAGGTGGTTGTGTATTTCCAAGAATTCTAGACTGTCTAGTTTTTTTGTGTAGAGGTGTTTATAATAATCTCAGATTATCTTTTGAATTTTCATCATATCAATTGTAATGTCTCCATTTTCATTTCTGATTGTGTTAATTTGAATCTTCCCTCTTTATTTCTTAATTAATCTAGCTAATGGTTTATCAATTTTGTTTATATTTTCA